GAATCACTTCACATCATGTCATTTTATAAATTCAGATAATTTTCTAATTTGAACATATTTTCATTACATTCAATAATACGAAAAAAAGAAAAAAGTAAAAAGTGAAGATCTTTTGTTCTGGAATTTACGTAAAAATAAATCTTTCTGCAAATTACATTCTTTATATTCTTAATATGTTCTTAAATTATGCTTTTCAAGTATATTTATGTAATTCCTAAAAATACAAATTCAATAGAATAATTTGATCATTGAATGATCTTAGATATAAAATTTATAAGAAAACATAATGCATACATTATTATCTTTTCAAAAAAACTATATTCAAAAAAAAACCAAATATAATAACAAAACAGATGCAATATATTTTCATCCATAATTTGACTACGACACTAATAAGGAAGAGACCTGGTTAATAATCACATAGTTAATGGTCACTATTTCATGTATAACATTAAATGTTCATAATATTGTATTGATAAAAAAAAAGATACAGAAATACAAAAATAAAAATAATTATACAGAAATAAAAATAATTATTATTTTATTATTCAAGTCTTTTTATAATTAATTTACAATCTTTGAAAGTTGTAAAGAGATTATATAAAAAATTGTTAGTGCGATTATATAAATGATAATAGTATATCTCAAAAAAAAATTATTTCAATTATAACAGGAAATTGACTTTATATTCAATTGAAAATGTGTGGAAGAAATTGTAAGAATTGAAGGAATAATAAAAAGTTAATTTAATTGTAAACACATAGCACAGTTTTAAAAATTATGAGTCATTACAAGAGATAGAAAGTAATAAAATTTCTTATTTTATAAAATCACTATTTTTAAATGTTTCAATTGAGAGTTTTTATTAAAAACAATCTAAGTTACATATATTAAACATGATTCACAATCAACTCATTAAAATTGAAAAAGAATCTATCTTTTCTCATAAGAATGATCATTATTCATTCCAAAACATGTAATTAGAAAGGATTCGGTTGAAGTTAAATTTCAAGTAAATTTTTTATAAGAAAAAAGATATTACTTATGTAATTGAAACAGTTCTATTGCAATACTGAAAATTTCATTTGTAATGTTGAATAAATAATACTGAAATAGTGACTTGTTGCTTTAGAATGAAAAATCAGTTTCTAGTCTCTTTTTTTTACCACAATTTAAATTAATTATTCCTCATGATATTCCATTATTATGTATTTTTCATATAATAATATACTATTTAAGAATCATTGCTGAAAAATAGTTCTATAATTCTAAAACATTTGATAAATCTGTGATACTGAAGCTACTGATACATAATTTCTACATTAACATTAATTTTTAAATAATTATATAAATTATTATTTGTAAATATTTTTTAAATTTTCACTAACAGAGTTATATCTTTCTTTTGGGGTGTTATTTTATACTTGCAACATCTAAATACCTTGTTTGCATAATGTATAAAATATAAAAAATTGCTTTTTTTAGTATTTCGAAAAACAATTTTTCTATTGTACTAATCAATAATTTAATAGTTTTTATTTCATTTTATCTTACTCTATTTCTTCTTTTATTTGTTTCTTTTATTTTGCGTCCTAATTTATTTTATTTTTATTTTCTATTTTATTTAAGCAAGAGAGAGCTCCTTTTTATTTTGTATTTTATTTAAACAAGAAAACTCCTACGTCCACCTTGGAGTCCCCAAGGGAGTACGCGGAGTAGAGCAGACCCCATACCGCGCCATGGGGGACCTGGTCGTTTCTCGCCCCCTCTGGCAGAAGATCAAGACCGTGGCAACGTTCCTGTTACCACTCCTTGACTTCTTGCTAAGGGAAAGAGATATCAAAAAATCACCGCTTAGTGAAGCCAACCGGATTGCAAAGTGTACGGTGAAGGGATGGTTAAACCTATCCCAACGTGTTATCGCAGAGATGGTTTTCATCT